TAGTGAGACCGAACAATTAAATTTGAGTGGATCTTATACTCGATGAAGACGCATGATTCAGCTGAATTCGGACTATGTCTCAGACAGAACAATTATATTTGTCGCTTCTTGTCATCTGTGATTTTGTGAATACAACAAAGCATCAATAAATTCTTTACATAATTCACTCAAAGTCTTTTGAAGAGCACCAATGATTTCATTTCAGGAGATGTTTTTCATCAGATCTAAACGAGATTTGTGTTTAGGACAATAACTCGTGGCACTCAATATTTTATAATAATATAAACAGCAAGAGACTAATTCATGATTGTCAAGACTCCGTTCTCTCTATGTAACACACCGACTTAAATGAACTATTGTATACGTTCAATAATCATCAATTTCTCATGGCAAAGACAATTTCCAGAACTAGGTCTTCCTTATCATTCAGATATTGTTACTCTTCTAGTTTGAATTGGTATCAAACGTCAGTTCGGCAAAGGAGTGTGTGAGTATAAACAGAAATAAACACCCATCCGGGTGTGGGTGTGAATGTGGATGTGTGGGTGTGGGTGTGGGTATGGGTGGGTGTGGGTGCGAATTTCTGTGTGGATAGATGTAGGTGTGTATGTGAGATGAATCCACACATCTACACCCATACCCCAGCCCCAACCACAGCCACACACCCCACTCACACACACACCCACCCAAAGCTCTTGAAAAGAAGAATCTAATGAACGTGTACAGAACTCTATCCATACATATGGATACATATTTTAAAGAATCCAAAGTGACGAAGACATTTCAAACTTCCTTCGTCCCACCTCTCTCAAACTTCTTGATGGTTCAAAGTACTAATAAATATTGGCAATATGTATGAAAACTTATCTCGAAGCGAGAGGAGTTGGTCAAACTCAATGAAACTAAAATTATTTTATATTTTCTATATCTCTAGATAACCATCTTCTTGGTGTGCTTGGACATTTTTGAAATAAACTGCTGTTTTCTCAAGAACGGTATGGCTGTAAGAATTGAAATTTTATTCACAGCCCTGAAATACAACCTGTTAAAAAAAAGCAAAAAAATTGTTAATTGATCTCCTATACTTACCAAGAAATCAATGAAACAAAATTAAAAATCTGTCAGGACACTTCGTAGAACCATAGCTACTTGTTCCTTTTATTTTTACTTCTTTTTTTTATTTGATTTAATGGTTCTTGAAAGAAATATTTCTTTACCAAAATATTTCTGGCCTTTTCATCTATCGAATGTAAAAACAAAATCAGATATTACTTCGAAACCGGCTTTAGTAGCTTAAATTCAATCTGTTGAGTATGTTTTGGCAGTTTTTGCAATGTTTGATAGGTATATTGCAATCAAAGCTGCATTGAACTTCTATAGATATAAAGACGAAAGTCTTGGCTACAAAATATATCTAAAAACTTAATTTTGTTCAATGAAAGTTATGGCAAAGAAAAGCGATTTTTTTCTGGATAGCGTGCATAAAACTCAATGATCTTCTTCCTTTTTTCTTGAATAATCGTACAGCAATAGCAGTCTAAAGAATTAATTGTGTATTTGATAGATGACCTACACAGCAAGAAGTTTTTAAAAAAAAGAGTTGTCAAAATGCATTGAGTAGAAGCTGAGACGTTATTCTATGATAAAAGTGGATTGTAGAATCAGTGTTATCCATACATTCGTAATTTTATTCAAGTACTCAATTGAAAATATAGCTGAGGGTGTGGGTGTGAGTATGGATATAGATTGTGAAAGAAGAAAAAAACAAAATTTAGCCACACCCAAAGTCACACACCCATTTTCTTGCTATGTCTGAAGGATTGTCAAGCAAATATCTTCTTCGAATTTAACTTGCTTTTTTAAAATATTCTAAAGCTTCAGCATGATTGCCTTGTTTGAGGTGAACTACTCCAATATTGTTGTATATCGTTGCAATATCTGGATGATTTTGAGGTAAAGATTCTAATTGAATTTGAAGTGCTTTCTTGAAATATTCTAAAGCTTTAGCATGATTGTCTTGCTCTTGGTGAAATATTCCAATATTGTTGCATGTTTTTACGATGTCTGGATGATTTGCTGGTAAAAATTCTAATTGAATTTGAAGTGCTTTCTCCAAATATTCGGAAGCTTTAACATGATTGCCTTGATCTTTGTAAACTATTCCAATCATGTTGCATGTTTCTATAACGTCTTGATGTTTTCTTGGTGATGATTCTAATCGAATTTGAAGTGCGTTCTCAAAATTTTCTAAAGCTTTAGCATAATTGTTTTGTTCTTGGTAAACTATTCCAATATTCTTGCATGCTTCTGCAATGTCTGGATGCTTTCCTGGTAAAGATTCTGATCGAATTTGAAGTACTTTCTCAAAATATTCTAAAGCTTTAGCATGATTGCCTTGCTTGAGGTGAACTATTCCAATATTGTTGTATACCTTTGCAATATCTGGATGGTTTTGAGGTAAAGATTCTAATTGAATTTGAAGGGCTTTCTCAAAATATTCTAAAGCTTTAACACGATTGTCTTGCCCTTGGTGAACTATTCCAATCATGTTGCATGTTTTTACAATGTCTGGATGGTTTGCTGGTAAACATTCTAATTGAATGTGACGTGCTTTCTGAAAGTACTCCAATGCTTCAGCATAGTTGCCTCGGTTTTTGTAAACCATTCCAAAATTGTCATATATCGTTGCAGTGCGTGGATGATTTTCAGGTAAAAATGTCAAGTGAATTTGACGTGCTTTTTCCAAATCTTGTAAGGCTTTGGTGTGGTCACCTTGTTTTCTATGGATAAGCGCAATGTTGGTGTATGTCGTTGCAACATCTGGGTGATTTTGACGCAAAGCTTCTAATGTGAGTACTTTTTCATAACATTTCAACGCTTCAGCATAGTCTCCCTTCTCTGCGTGAAGTAATCCAATATTGTTATGTATCGTTGCAATGTAAGAAGGATATGGAGATTGAGCTGTTAATCGAATCTTAAGTGATTTTTCATAATATTTCATGGCTTTAACATAGTTATTTTGACTTTTATAAAGTGATCCAATGTTATTATATGTTATGGCAATGTCTGGATGATTTTCGGGCAAAGATTTTAATCTTATTCTCAGTGCATTACCAAAATATTTGAACGCTTCAGCATGATTACCTAGTCTTGCATGCACGCTTGCAATGTTGTCATATGTTGTTGCAATGTGTGGATGATTTTTATGTAAAGAGTTCAATTGAGTATGAAGTGTGGTCTCAAAATACTTCAAAGCATCAGGATATTTACCATTATCTAAGTGAACTTTTGCTATATTGTTGTATATCATTGCAATGTCTGGATGGTTTTTAGGTAAAGATTGTAATTGAATGTTAAGCGCATTCTCATAATGTTTCAACGACTCAGCATAGGTGGCTTGTTTCTGATGAATAAATCCAATGTGGTTGTATGTGATTGCAATATCTGGATGAGTTTTAGGTAAAGATTTTAATTGGACCTTAAGTGCTTCACCGTAATATTTCAAAGCTTCAGCAGAATTGCCTCTACATTGATGGAAAGACGCAACATTTTTGTATATGATTGCAAGAGAGAAATCATTTTCAGGTAACGATGTTAATTGAACTTTAAGTGCTTTCTCAATATAACGTGAAGCTTCAGCATAGTTACCTTGAGATTGGTGTACGACTGCAATGTTTGTGTATGTCGTTACAATATCGGCATAACTTTTCGGTAAAAGGTTTGTGTCAATATCAATTGTTTTCTCGAAATATTTCAAAGCTTCAGCATAGTTACCTTGAGATTGGTAAATGGCAGCCATGTTATTGTATAATTTTGCAATATCTGGATCATTTGGTTGTAAATCTTTACTCAATAAATCATAAAAGTATTTGGCCTGATCATATTGACCTGTTATGAACATTAAATGTCCTAATGCGGATAAATCATAGGTACCATAACCGATATCGTTTCTCATGTGTTCTGTTAAAGGTTTGAGTACATTTTCGTCTTCATATTGACCAGTTAAAGTTAATTTAATTAAATAGATGCCATCATATTCAGTATCTTTTTCTACTGATTCAAGTCGAAATACACAATCCATTGAAAATAAAATTTCTTCTTCATCTTTTTTCGAACTATACTTTTGTATATTAGCATATGAAGTTGATGTCGAGTTCATATTATTAATTTTGATTTCAAAGAAAACAGGAACAGTTTCTCCTTGTGTTGCGCCAAGAATAAACAATAATGCTGTTGTTTTATTTAATGATGTTGAGAAAAATGAATTTATTGACACTAATGCTCCTAAATTGTTTTGTAAATTGTTTAATTCATTTATATTGATTAATTGACCACGATATACAGTATTAATATTTTTTAATTCTGATGACTGTTCATAATATAAACGTCTCAATTGTTCATATAAATCCTTAATGATAAAACGAAATTTGTATATTCTATGAAAATCTTGATATCTTAATGCTTTATTTAATAAACGATATAGAAAGCCATCAAGTGTGTACCATCGAATAGCTTCATGTGAATCATATTTGTTTTCAAATTCACTAATTCGAAATAATTGACTTGCGTTATTATGATAAAATTGGCGAGCCTCATTTAATAAATCCTTTTTTGCCGCCTTTGATTGTGAATCACGTAATAATATTTCAATAAATAAATGCATATACATAAAATATTGACTTTCTTTTGATAAATCTTTGATAGATATTTCTTTAATGTTACCATCCATATTATTGAACAATGTCATACGTGGTGAAAGTTGTTTTGCAAATAAATTAACATCATGATTTAATTTGTTAATAAGTAATTTTTTATCATTGAATATATTGTTAGCATTTATGTGTTCTACATAATTATTAATATCATCGTTAGTCTCACTTATATTAAATAAATAAATAAATATAATTTGCGGTAAATTACGAATACTTGTTATAATAGAAACATCAGATGATAAAATTAGAAACACGTATACATTTGAACAAATTGATTCTATATAATCGATACACTTATGTGGATTATCGAATAGTTTTACACAATTGATAATGCCATGTAGATCAGGTATTTGTAAAAGATCATTTGCTGTTTTATTTGTATGACAATTATCTAGTTGTATGACAACAAAATCTCCATTATTGAATTCTTCGATTGTTAATGATAATTCATCTTGTGCAAATATGAATGGTTTTATCGAATTATTTTCCATGATTAATGTTTATTATAAAAAACAAACTAGTAATAAGTATTGTTTTTCAATAGGATTCTAGAATCAAATAGAAATAGTCTAGAGACTTTCAACCGTTTTAAATCTATTTTTTCTACAAAGTTTAATATCTAACCC